GTGTGTGTGTGTGTGTAATTCACATGCTTTGCACACTGCATTAGTCATATGTTCTTCCCTGTGACGTGACACTGAATTAACCCTCTCCTCCCTCTGTCCTGTTCTCTCTAACACACATTCACACCTCTGTGTTTCCCTCTCTTTATGCTTTATGTTTGTAATCTGACACCGCTTCAGTGTCCAATGCCAAGGACATAATTCACCTCAAAGAGGCCCAACAGCAAATCATAGTATGCCAATAAATTTCCCTGTCAGAGCTCAGCCAATAGGTGGTTAGCATTAAAACACACATATCATGTTGGTGGCCAATGGCATGGCAAAGGCAATATATCTGTCACAAAGCAGAGTCTCTTGGCTGCTGGGAATCTGGGGTAACCATTCATAAAGAAGGAAAAACAGGCTCAGAAATGGGAAACATCCATTGCAGTTCGGCTTGTGTTTTTCTGTGGTAGTTTGAGCAACACGTTTTGATGGTTTAGGTTAGGTTAGGTTATGCATACAAGATATGAGATCCAGTGTGTGACTAATAACAACAAAGTTAGGATTAGGAAACAACAGTCATAGATACAATACAACAGATGCAAAGACAAAAACAGACGTCTTTGGCCAAACAAATGGACTATTTCATGAATGCTGCCAATTAGGATATACAGTACTTAATTACATTTGATTATTTATGAACTTGCAAGAAAATCAAAAGAATGACTGTTATTTTCAGTTGAAAGCTGTAGCTTATCTAGAGTTGTCAACTTTCAGTTGGGTTTGATATTTTTTAAACCATTTATTATCCATATCAGTTTCTGTAGTTTTTCAACCAAGAAGACTAAACATTTCCAGATAATCCTGTAAAAAGTATCAAATGTCAAAAGAAGTATTCTAAATTTGCAAAATGACCATTCAAAGCTGATATGAATGCCACAGATGAATTTGTGGTGTAGTCTGTGCTGTAACTTTTTTTTTTTTTTTTTCGTTAACAGAAGTTCATTTATATAAAATTTATTTATGACATTATTTTTGAAAGCATCCTCACTTTACAGCATTTTTACACTTGTGCCTAAAACTTTTTACAGTACTGAAACTTTGCAGGTAGATTTCTTGAAGTATCTTGGAGATGTTTATAGTTCTTCTGGATTTAGTCTATCTCATTTTTTTCATAATAAGATTTCCTCCCACTTTCCATTATTTTACTTCAATGATAGGTTAGAATTTTGTGATTTTTTTTTTACTGAAAGATCAAAAATATAAACGATGCAGATTTATTTTAACAGCCACCTTTGCTCATAAATCGTAAATAGGGGTCGTTAATACCAAGGGTGCCAATATTAGTGGTTGGCAATGGCACTGTATATATATATATATATATATATATTGATAAATTGACTTATTTTATCATGAATTTATAAAACTTACTTGTGCTGCACATTCCATCATGAATATTCCCAGATCCTCAGGGTAGATAATGGAACAGTTAGTGAATGGTAAGAACTATATCTGTTATTAGGTACATGAATACATAAAAACTAGAATGAAAATAGTTGTTTAATTATGTTGGCAATTTTGCAGACAAATTAACAAAAACAGTGTTGAATAATAAAGATTCCCCTTAAAATAAATAATAAAGGTAATAATTAAAAGCAACATTGGCAAAAGATTTGGGATGCAGATATTAAAGGCAGAGGAGAATATTCAAAAATCAATTAAGGCTAAAGTATTTAGAAGTAGAAATGGAAGAGGGTGCACAAGACACACAACAAATTTCTAATGAATAGGTTAAATGTGATATATATATATAATGTGAAATATATATAATGTGTGTATATATAAATGCAAAAGAAATGTAGAGCATGTACTAGGAAATTTAGGCAAGTAAGGAAATGGGCATTTAAAGATATTTTAGAAATAGGAAATAATCAACTGGACGTCGTTAGGGCATCAAACGAAAAAAAGCATTTTTTTCTGGTCTTATAAGGGGAATTTAAAGTGGTCATAGGATGCGATTTCAAGTTTTCCTTTCTCTTTGGAGTGGTACAAGCTGATTGTGCATAGATAAGATCCCTGAAGTTGCAAAGACTAAAGTCTCAAAACCAAAGAGATATTCTTTATCAAAGTTAAGACTCTGCCACACCCCCTAAAACGGCTCGTTCTAACACGCCCCCACATATCTACCTCACTATGTGGAAATATTTGCATAATGCCGCCCAAATGTGCACGCAAAGAAAGAAGGCGTGGTTTCAGTAACCGCAGTTAGTGTTGAAGCAGCATGTCAGGGAGACGCTGTGTGTTTCTAGTCGAAAGCAAAAGCACTTTATTTGGCCTTCCGAAAGTAGATGCATTTAGAAATATTTAAGATTACTTACAACAGAAGAACAATGCATTTTATGGACGGCCGTTTCGTGAACCTAGGAGAGGAGGTAATTCTGACTTTGCTATGACAATCTGATGCTTCTGAATCAGCTACTGTTTTGTTATTAGTTGAAGTATTTATGCATTACACGGTAATGGTAAAATGAAAGGAATTGGAATTTATAGTAATTGAAGTTTGGACAAATGAAGGAAATATTAAAATAGTAAATTATTATAATCCGTGTAAGAAAATAACATTGGAAAACATAGAGGAACTTGCAATAAATTTAGAGGGTAAGGTTATTTGTTGTGGAGATTTTAATGGGCATAATACGTTGTGGGATAGTTATAATGATTCAAATGGGGAAGTAATAGAGGAATTAATGGAACTAAAAAATGTAGTATGTGTAAACAATGGAGATGGCACTAGAAATTAAATGTGGTAAATGGGAAGGAAACGGCAGTTGATATTACAGGTGTATCGGAAGCTATAGCAGGATTATGTTGGTGGGAAGTTAAGAAAGATAGTACGTTAGGAAGTGATCATTATCCAATTTTTATAGAAATAGGTATAAGAAATGAAATAAATGAGTCAAGTGGGTCAGAAAGATGGGTATTTAGTAAAGCAGATTGGGTGAAATTCAGGGAGATAAGTGATGAAATGATGGGAGTAATTAATAGTGATGAGGAAATAGAGGAATTAAATCGAATAGTTTGTGGAGTTATAATAGAAGCAGCAAAACAATCAATTCCAAGAAGTTTAGGGAATAGGAGAAAGAAGATAGTCCCATGGTGGACGGAAGAATGTGGGAAAGTAATAAAAGAAAGGAACAACGTTTTTAAAATACTTAAAAGAACACACAATTTTGAAGATTTAATCAAGTTTAAAAAGAAGATAGTACGTTAGGAAGTGATTATTATCCAATTTTTATAGAAATAGGTTTAAGAAATGAAATAAATGAGTCAAGTGGGTCAGAAAGATGGGTATTTAGTAAAGCAAATTGGGTGAAATTCAGGGAGATAAGTGATGAAATGATGGGAGTAATTAATAGTGATGAGGAAATAGAGGAATTCAATCGAATAGTTTGTGGAGGTATAATAGAAGCAGCAAAACAATCAATTCCAAGAAGTTTAGGGAATAGGAGAAAGAAGATAGTCCCATGGTGGACGGAAGAATGTGGGAAAGTAATAAAAGAAAGGAACAAAGTTTTTAAAATACTTAAAAGAACACACAATTTTGAAGATTTAATCAAGTTTAAAAAGATGCGGGCAAAGGTAAGAAGAACTATTAAAACAGCAAAAAGGGAATATTGGAGATCATTTTGTGAGTCAGTGGGAAGAGAAACAGATATTTATAAAGTATTGGGCATGATAAGGAAAATGAATGGAATTAGGAGAGAGTTTGGATATCCTACATTAATAAATAATGAAGGCACAGCTGTGACAGAGAAGGAGAAAGCGGAAATGATCATAAAAACATTTGTCAAAATCCATAGTTCGGATAATGTTAACGAAGAAGGGAGGAAAGGACGAGAGGGAACAGTTTTAAGATATAGAGAATTAATTATGGAAGATGAAGAGGTAGATGATATACTTAATTTGCCATTAACAATAGGAGAATTAAATAGTGCATTAAGAAATACTATGTTATCAGCGCCGGGTAAAGATCAGATATGCTATATAATGTTAAAAAATTTAAGTGAATCATCAAAAAGTATTATTTTAGAGTTATATAATAAAGTATGGGAAAAGGGACAATTACCTAGCTGCTGGAAAGAAGCTGTAGTAGTTCCAATACGTAAAGCTGGGAAAGAAGGTAATAGTCCATGTGATTACAGGCCAATTTCTCTTAATTCGCATTTATGCAAGGTAATGGAAAAAATTATAAATCAGCGACTAACATATTTTATGGAAACTAAAAGGAATATTTGTAATTATCAAAGTGGATTTAGAAAAGGTAGATGTACTATGGACCCTACAGTATGTTTGGAACATGAAATACGAAGAGCTCAGGCTAATAGAGAAAGTGTAGTGGCAGTATTTTTTGACGGGAAAGAAGGTAAAAGTCCAAGTGATTACAGACCAATTTCTCTTACTTCGCACATATGTAAGGTAGTGGAAAAAATTATAAATCAGAGACTAACCTCTTTTATGGAAACTAAAGGGAATATTTGTAATTATCAAAGAGGATTTAGAAAAGGTAGATGTACTATGGACCCTACAGTATGTTTAGAACATGAAATACGAAGAGCTCAGGCTAATAGAGAAAGTGTAGTGGCAGTATTTTTTGACATCGAGAAAGCTTATGATATGATGTGGAAAGAAGGGTTAATAATTAAATTGAGAAAAGCAGGAGTTAAAGGAAAAATGATAAGATGGATTAAAGGTTTTCTATTTGGAAGATCTATTCAAGTAAAGATTGGGAAAG